GGTTTAGGGCTTAGGGTTGAGGGTTTAAGGGGACTAGTCGGGTTGGGGGTTTCAGGGTTTCAGGGTTTCAGGGGGTTTGGGGGGTAGATACTACGGCTTGAGCTTGGCGTGAGGGCCATACTTCTAATAAGCACATGGCCCATGTGGGTTTTGGGTGTTGAGGGTGTCGGGGTGAGGGTTCATGGCTTTTTGTTGAGAGGTGTTTCAACACAGCCCGAAAGGCCAAGTAGAGAGCAACGCAGACAGCCTTCGCTACGGCAGCAAGAGACACGGTGAGAGGCCGCGGTAGCTGGTGCCACGGCAATTTGCAGCACAAGGCTTTAGGGTTTAGGGTTTAGGGTTAACCCTGTAGCAGTCATCCTCGCCAGGAGATGTCCCAGTTTCGCATGGCTCGCTGCATGTGCCCGTGAAGGAGGACGTGGGAGGCATGTCAAAGAGGGGTTTTATTTCTGTTGCGGCTGATTTTTTTGGGTTCCATACAAATCTTGGTGAGTGTATGTAATTGGTGTGCCAGTGGGGACACAAGCAATAGAAACCCTACTATATGCCGCTTCGTGAGTTTTAGGTCGGACTTGAAGTGAAATTTGAAACCGGCTTAGAATTCCACTTATTTCCTATCCGGGCCCTAAACCCTAAACCCAAAGCCCCAACCTCCTGAGACCTTAAACCGCAAGCTCCTCTACTTTGACCACCCAAGTCCCAGAAGGACTCCAACCAGAAGAAATCAGGCCTTCACGCCTACAGTTTTTCAGGGTACCCGCGCCCCCTAAACCGTGCGTTTTTTCCCGGAGCTTGAGGGACAACTCCCCACAATGGTCGACTCAGTTTACACTGTAGGCGCTTTCACTTATTTGGAGTCTCTTAGGCATTCTAAGGACACTGTGGCAACAGTGGGCTTGCCACACCTTGAACCCTAATCTGCTATGATGGGAATGTTTAACTTTATGAGGTCAGGGGGTCAGGGGGTTATTGGAGCGTCTCCAACTTCGAGTGGCGAACAAAGCTGAAAGGTTTCCGAGCCAATGCCAAAACTGGTGTACAAAGTTTCGGGATTTACCCCCAAACCCTGAAACCTCCTAAGCCCTAAATCCTAAAACTAAACCCTGAACCCTAGACCCTCAACCCTCAACCCTAAATTTAAGAGCCTCCGGCTCAAGCCGCCGACCCCGCAGGAGAAGTTTAAGGTTTGGGGTTTGGTTCCTGTTGGGGGGGGGGGGGGGGGGGGGGGGGGGGGGGGGGGGGGGGGGGGGGGGGGGGGGGGGGGGGGGGGGGGGGGGGGGGGGGGGCGTGGGTTTGTTGCGGGTGGGGGGGGGGGGGGGGGGTGGGGGTGGGGGGGGGGGGGGGGGGGGGGGGGGGGGGTGGGGGGGGAGGGGGGGTGGGGGGGGCGGGGGGGGGGGTGGGGGGGGGGGGGGGTGGGGGGCGGGGGGGGAGGGGGGGGGGGAACCCCGGGGGGGGGGGGGGGGGGTGGGGGGGGGGGTGGGGGGGGGTGGGGGGGGCGGTGGGGGGGGGGGGGGGTGGGGGGGGGGGGTGGGGGGGCGGGGTGGGGGGGGGGGGGGGCGTGGGGGGGGGGTGGGCGGGGGGGGGTGGGGGGGGGGGGTGGGACAGGTGGGGGGGTTGGGGTGGGGGGGGGGCGGTACCCCCCCTACCACCCCCCCCGTTTGGGGGGTAAGGAGGGGAAAGGAGGGAGGAGCGTTTTCACTTCCTTTTCCCATCAACACGCCGACGGCTCGGCGGACTTTCCCTAAACAAGAAAAAACCTTTTCCCCCAACCCCCCGTGCCTTTCTGAGTCCCCAATCTTCCGAAGGCGGCTCCCGCAAGGGGATCGCCCAGGGCGGCAGAGGCCCCGAACCCACTCCAAGAAGCCAACCACTACGCTGCGGCCGGGTGCTGGAAGGTTAGGGTTGTGTTTAGGGTTTGGTTTAGGTTTAGGGGTTGGTAGGGTGTGGAGTTTGGGGGCTTAAGGTTGGGGTGTACGCTGCGCTCATGCAGCCTGGTCAGAAGTACTGGTGACCAAGCTGTCAGACAGTGCGAAAGGGAAGGCCGAACCCTATATAACCACCACAAACCCGTAAGACCCTAAACCCTACGAAGCATCTACCCCATAGAAAGCCCTTTCTCCTAAGCCCCAAACCCTAAACCCTAACCCTAAACCCTAAACCCTAAACCCTAAACCCTAAACCCTAAACCCTAAACCCTAAACCCTAAACCCTAAACCCTGAACCCTGAACCCTAAACCCTGCACCTTGGCTTGAAGTCCAGGTCTGTGGCCGCCAAGGTGGCCAAAGCCACGAAGCCGGAGCAGAGCCAGAACCGGCTAAGGCCGGTTGATGGGTGGCGGGGCTTGGTGGTTGAGGGGTTTAGGGTTTAGGGCTAGGGGTTTAGGGTTTAGGGTTTAGGGTTTAGGGTTTAGGGTTTAGGGTTTAGGGTTTAGGGTTTAGGGTTTAGGGTTTAGGGTTTAGGGGGTTTAAGGAAAAGGGGAAAGGGTTAGGGGCCATCCCCCCCCCGTCCCCCCCCCCCTCCCCACCCCCCCCCCCCCGCCCCCCTCCCCCCCCCCCCCCCTCCCCCCCCCCCCCCCCCCATCCCCCCCCCCCCACCCCCCCCCCACCCACATCCCCATTTGTGGTCCCCCCCCCCCCCCACCCCCCCCCCCCCCCCCCCCCCCCAGCAAAAAAAAGAGACTTATTCTGATCATTCAGACTCGTGCGCATGTGGAGACCCACGCAGGCCACCGAAGCTTAAGGTGTAGGGTTTAGGGTTTTGGGGTTTAGGGTTTAGGGTTTAGGGTTTAGGGTTCAGGGGGGCCACGTCACAGATGGGCAGATGGAGAGATGCAGGGGCTTCCCCAGGGCTTCGCCCTGAGCCAACCCTCAGCCCTAAACCCTCGGCCCCCTCAGCCTTACCTTAAGAACCCAAAGCCTACTTTTTTGCCGGTTGCCCAAGAATCCGAAAAGCGACGGTGTAGTAAGAAGCCTGCAAAAAGTAGGTCTTGGGTTCTGAAGGTGAACCCTCAGGCCTCCCAAAATGCCACGGGCCAACAGACCAGAAAGCCACAGAGAAGGCGAACCTCCCAACCTCCCAGGACCAGGTGCTGGAGCCTTCTCCGACCCTCTTTGGGACCTTTGGGGCTCCTTCCTACGCTCTGAACTCCGAAGCCCGAAGCTCTTCCAGCCCTAAACCCTAAACCCTAAACCCTAAACCCTAAACCCTAAACCCTAAACCCTAAACCCTAAACCCTAAACCCTAAACCCTAAACCCTAAACCCTAAACCCTAAACCCTAAACCCTAAACCCTAAACCTAAACCCTAAACCCTAAACCCTAAACCCTAAACCCTAAACCCTAAACCCTAAACCCTAAACCCTAAACCCTAAACCCTAAACCCTAAACCCTACACCCTAAACCCTAAACCCTAAACCCTAAACCCTGACATCTCCAAACCGTGTGGTGGAAGAGGGGGGAACCTTGATGTGCACGACGTGACTCGGCACTTGAGCCGCGTCTGCTGAGTTGCTGAACAAGATGACGAAGGGTCAGATTCTTGACACGTTGCGCAACATCGGAAATAGACCCTAAACATCCCTTAGCCCTGAACCCTGAGCCCTGAACCCTAAACCCTAAACCCTAAACCCTGAACCCTACACCCCTAAACCCTAAACCCTAGCTCTAATTCCTGAATCCCTCAACTGTCTGAATCCCTGCATCCTGAAGTCCAAAGAGCTCTGAGGTCCTAAACCCTAAACCCTAAACCCTAAACCCTAAACCCTAAACCCTAAACCCTAAACCCTAAACCCTAAACCCTAAACCCTAAACCCTAAACCCTAAACCCTAAACCCTAAACCCTAAACCCTAAACCCTCAAAGAGCCGTGAGGTCCCAAACCTGACATGCGCTTGTCGCAGGCACCTCCTGAAGCGACGGCAGGACTTCGGCGGGCCAAGGGGTTTAGGGTTTAGGGTTTAGGGTTTAGGGTTTACTAAACAGCCAAAAACCCCAGCCCCCAATCTGCGCGCAGGAGAAGCGCAGCCAGCGGATTGCGGCTGCCGCGGAGACGCTGGAGGTGCCAACGAAAACTTGTCCGGAAGGGGCTTCGTAGGGTTTAGGGTTTAGGGTTTAGGGTTTAGGGCTTAGGGTTCCGAGTTTCGGGTTTGGCTGCGCTTCCGCTCGGGGGCTTAAGGCGTTAGGGCGTTCAAGGGTTTTTAGGGCTCCAAGGGTCTGAGGATCTTAGGGCATGAAGGGGTGGCTGGGGGTCCTCAGGCTTGAAGGGTTTAGAGTTGGGGGCTTGGGGCTTTAAGCTGTTTTCGGTCCAGGCCCTTCGCGCAAGCTTAGAGCGTTAATTTTAGTCCCTTGTTTTGGGTTCTAGGGTGTTTGGGTTTAGGGAAAGGGTTCAGAGGGGTGAGCTCTAGTATCGTGTCTCTACAGATTCGGGTACCAAGAACAGCCCAACCTCCAGCCCTAAACCCATGGCTCAGCAAAACCAACTCACCCCCAGCATCCAGAAACCCCTTCTCCCAAGCCAACGATGCCTTAATCCATGCGATACGCCCGAGAAAGCCCAAAGGCTCACAACCTATCCCCCCAAGCCCCAAACCCCACGCCCCAAGCCCTAAACCCTAAACCCTAAACCCTGAAGCCTGAACACCCTGAACCCAGAAGCCGATTTGTTGGATTCCCCTGACCCCTTTGTAGACCACCCCCCCCCAAACTCCCACGCACCAAGCCCTGAGCCCTTCAGAAGCCGTCCTACACCCAAAGGCCTCTATAAGCCCTTGCACAATCCCAAAGACCTGAAAAATGCCAGACTCCTAAAACCCTGAAGACCGCGAACCCTGAACCCTAAACCCTGAACCCTAACCCCTAAACCCTAAACCCTAGAACCTGAACCCTAAACCCTAAACCCTATACCCTAAACCCTGAACCTAAACCCGATACCCTAAATCCCATACCCCAAGCCTTCCAATCCCTGAACCGAAGCACTCAGGCGCTGAACCCCGACGTCCGTGCCATGCTGCAGGAGATCTTTGCGCGCAACGCGCTGAGCAAGGAGTGCGTGGGACCAGAAGCCCGAAATCCTTGATCCGAAGCCCGAAACCCGAAACCTTGGTTTAGGGATTAGGGTTTAGGGTTAGGGTTTAGGGACTTAAACCCTCGACCCGAAAATGAGGTTGTGTGGGAAACCATGCGCCCCTAGAGCCTTGGATTCTCAAGAGCCTGCAAGGACGTACAAAAATGGCCCAAGCAGCCCAGTCTCGCCAGGAGGATGTGCTTATGGGCCTGGAGGTGCATCGGGCAGTGCTGGAGGCCCAACCGGGGGGTTTAGGGTTTAGGGGTTGGGGTGTTTAGGGTTTGGGGGTGTTTGGGGTTTGGGGTTAGGTTTGCAGGTTTTTTGGGGCTTGGGGTTAGCGTTTAGCGTTCAGGGGGTGAGGTTTAGGGTTTAGGTTTTGCAGCTTGGGGATTAGGGCGTTGTGGCTTGCGGGTTGAGGTTTTGGGGTTTGAGTAAGGCACCCTCCCCCCGAATATTTAAGTACTCCCATGACCGTTATGTCACAGCATATGGGGCGGGGCATTTACTTTCAGGGGGTAGGGGGGGGGGGTGTTCGAAGCCAATCTTGTTTGCTTAGCTTCGAAGTCCCTGGGCCCTAAGGCTTTGGGGGGTGTTTTTGGGGGGAAATGAGGGCCTCGGGGGCTTGGGGTCCAGCGGTTCAGGATGCAAAGAGTGTTAAACCCGAAACCCGAAACCCGAAACCCGAAACCCTAAACCCTAAACCCTAAACCCTAAACCCTAAACCCTAAACCCTAAACCCTAAACAACCCTAAACAACCCTAAACCCTAAACCCTAAACCCTAAACCCGAAACCCTAAACCCCAAACCCTAAACCCTAAACCCTAAACCCACCCTAAACCCCAGCAACAACAGCTCCACAACAGGCGGGGCTCGTGGGCCACGACGCGACGGAGCGCCGGACCTTAGCCGCCACGTGCCGGCCCCCTGGGCGGCAGTGGGAGGACCGGGTGCCCAAGGGAGGGTTTAGGGTTTCGGGTTTAGGGTTCAGGGTTTAGGGTTCAGGGTCTAGGGTTTGGGGTTTAAGACCCTTTGCCCTTTGAAAGGGGCCCCTCTGAAGCCTTCAAAGGCCCACGACCGAGCTCCCGAGCCACCTGAGCACCCCTCAGTCCTACACCCCTAAACTGCCCTAAGCCCTGATGGTTTAGGGTGCAGGGTTTGGGGTTTCGGGTTTAGGGTTTCGGGTTTAGGGTTTATGGTTTAGGGTTTAGGGTTTAGGGCATGCCAGAATCCCTCCTGCCCACAACTCAACTGCCCTAAGCCCTGATGGTTTAGGGTGCAGGGTTTGGGGTTTCGGGTTTAGGGTTTCGGGTTTAGGGTTTAAGGTTTAGGGTTTAGGGCATGCCAGAATCCCTCCCGCCCACAACTAACCCACAATGCAGGAAGACGGCCTCACCTTTGCTGAGTTTGCCGGGAAGCCGCTCGTTTTTTTGCTCTCCCCAGACCCGAAGCCGCCATCCCCAAGATGCCCCCAACTGTTTAGGGTTTAGGGTTTGGGGTTCGGGGCTTAGGGTTTGAGGTTCGAGGTTTAGGGTTTAGGGTTTAGGGTTTAGGGTTTAGGGTTTAGGGTTTAGGGTTTGAGGTTTAGGATTTCGGATTTAAGGTTTAGGGTTTTGGGTTAGAGGGGCTTAGCGTCAAGGAGCTTTGAAGGCTTCGTAAAGCTTGTGGATTCGGGGTTTTTCTCCTCAAAGCTGGCCACCCCAGCTTTCAGCCCATGGGGGTTGTCTACACCGGGGCGGAGCCACGCGTACAGGCCCTAAAGTAGACCCGCCTCGGCCCTATGAGTCCTAGAGCCTAAACCCTCAACCCTCATTGTGAGCCACAAAGCTGATATTCACACACTTTGTCTCTTACCAAGCCCAGAAGCTCTTCTTCAAATGATAGGCGCGCACACGAGCGTGGGCGAAGATGTGGGGGTTGTGGGTGTTATGGCGTGGAAGGAAATGATTCTGAAGCGTTGGGTGTGCTATCCGGAGCAGGAGTATAGCTCTCTTCGCAAAGAAGCTGTGTATCAGCCCACCACTGGTGCGATGACCGACAAGGATTGTTGGGGAACCACCCTCTTAGTAGGGACTTAGGCCTCGAGGCTTAGAGTTTAGAGTTTAGAGTTTAGTGTTTAGGGTTTAGGGTTTAGGGCTTGTGAACGGTTTAGGGTTTGGGGTTTAGGGTTTAGGATCTACGGTTTAGGGTTTAGGGTTTAGGGTGACCCTGAACCTGCAGACGCCTCCCCTTGAGGATCGTGCCCGGCTGCAGGGCGACGCTGTCGGCGATGCGGCATGTGGCCCGGCCACTGATGGGAACCGAGTGGGCAGCTCTCTTAAAGAGGTTCCCCTTTGAGGGTTAGGGTTTAGGGGTTAGGGTTTAGGGTTTAGGGTTTAGGGCTAGGGTTTAGGGTTCAGGGTTCAGGGTTAGGGGAATGCAACACCCTTTTTGTAAAGGACCC